CCATCCATTTTTGTCTCTCTATGAATGCTTCTTAACTATTTATTTGTTTGGCTAAGTCACCATAAGGATATCAAGTCATCCCTATTCAGGATACATTTTCAAAGGAGAATCTTATCCAAGTATCATGATGCAGGCCTACCTGTAATCCCTACACTTCAAAGACTGAGGATAGAGGAACAAGTGTTCAAGACCAACCTTGACTATATGAGTCAGTCAGTCTCTGTCTCTCTCTCTTCCTCTCTCTCCCCCCTCTACCGCTCTCTTTCACACACACACACACACACACACACACACACACACAAAGGGAATCATTAAAAATTATAAGAAATAGGAGAAAGAACAGCAGAAAAGTACTTTGATAACAAACAAGGCAAATCCTCTTGAGCTAAATCAATCATCTTTTCCAATGCACTTCTGTAAGAATTTGAACCCATTCCCAAGAATTTGGCAGATCCCATAACCTCTTCTGACTCAGGAAAATATGATCCCTACAAATGAATACCACGTGACGGCATCACTTCCCTCCTTCCAACAACTGTGGGTGTCTTTCAAACTGATTTTTTAAAGATAGCTATATACAAAATTAGATTTAGAGCACCCCAAGCTAATCACTTGCCTCAGGCCTTCACAGGGAAGTTTTTTAATCCATCGTTTTCTCATTGCTTTACAGGAAGACAAGAAGCAGGCCTAGTGGAGCTGGCGATTTCCCTAGATTTCTCTCTAACTGTCCTGCCTTATCTGTGTTTCAATATTATCATCAAGGCTCCCAGAGAATAGAAAATATATCTTTTGTTGTTATTTATTTTCTTTTTCTCTTGTTACTCGGGTTCAAACCCAGGCCATGTGCATGCCAGGCATGTGCTCCACTATTGAGCCACATTAACAGCTATGTGTAGAGTGAACAAATTATTATACTAGCGGAGAACACTGACACAGGCACGCACTTATCTTCTCAAGGACACTGAGGCTGATGCAGAACTAAATTAAGTGCCTTGAATATATCTAATCTGTCTCTTGCCTTCTATTGCCTACAAAACAGTATTTTGTAAGTGTCATATGGGCAGTATATTTTCTCGATTCTTCTCCTTCATATAATGAGCTTTTATGTTGCCTCATGAGCTTTCAGGAGTTTTAGCTTGATCTGATTTAGTTTTACCCGGTTACCCTGCTCTAAGTCAGGATTCACATTGAAGCAATTTGGTAACACTAGCCTGGTATTAGCAAGCTGCCTCTGTCCTTTGCCAAAACGTCTGTGGTCCGCTGGTAGATATTAAAAGACTTAAAGAGTAGAACACCGCCTCTGGAAACTTGCTGCCTTGGGAATAAAGCAACTTCCAAGGCTTCTACCTTGGGAATTTAAAAATCCATATAGTCATGAAGGAATGAGTGAAAGACAAACTACAAGAGGTCACCCCGTTTCGATTTGGTATGTGGTCAAAGTGTCTTCTTTTTGAACATGCTGGATAAGGCAACCAACACCCACTACAAAGAGACTGCACTGTCATAGGCATAAAATCTTCATCCTTCGATGAAATGTTTTTCAAATAATTTGATAGTCCAATATCAGAGCACTCTGGGAAATGCCTGGGTGCATATGTATTTTATCATATTAACCATAAGTGTACACATAGTTTACCGTCATAGACTTCACTCAAATGTATAACATCTTAACTATTATATAAGCTTAAACTTCATCAACAGAGTCCAGCTGGTTAAAAATATTGGAGAGTGTTAAACATATCAATGTTTGTACACAAGACATCTTCCTTTACTACTGGAAAGGAGGAATCTGGTGTATTATGTGGTAGAGAGATGATATAGCATAACTTATCTTTAGAACAAAACAAAACAAAAAGCCAAATAAATTTAGTAGTAAGGGACATAGAAAGATTGACAAGTGATAGCCCTTAGGAAGAATGCTGGTGGCAGTGGAATAAAACATTTGAGAAGTGCCTGAGAATGGGCTATCTTAACAAGAGCGCAAGTCTAAATCATCACCAGCCACTCTAATGCCGAACAGGTTAACAATTTAGCCCCTTCTTCCTCAATCTCCATAGTGTTGATTATAGCCCCAAATTCAGTTCCCTGGCTCTCCCCCAGTCCTCCCTCTCACCTGCTGTTTTATGTGTTTCTGTACCCTGTTCCCACTATGTGTACCCTCGGCATCTTCTCAATCTGAGTTTGCCAAGTCCATTTTTCCCACCCTCCCTGGAACAATCACCCAAGCCACTGCTTCAACTCTGTATTCTCCTAATGTAGCAGCTGGCCAGGAACCCAGGCTGCCTTGAGTCTTGTGAGAAGACATGCCAGACATCCATGGAAACTCCTCAGTGAGGTTAAAATTAGAGAGGATGGGGAAGCTCTCTGTGAATGTGAGACTATTGTGGTTGCTTTAGGACACAGAGCTCTTTTGACACATTTAATCACATGTGTCCCAAAAGATAACGGTAAGGAGGTCAGAAATGCATCATTTACCTCATCTGGCTGTTGGCTACCCAGGCTGTAGACTGATTTTAAGGTCTGTATCACCATGACTTGCCAGGGTAACAGATGTATTCATGCCTGTCCTAGCAGAATAGCTCTGTAGATGTCACAAGAGCATTGTTCACAGAGGAGCATGCTCACATCTGCATTGAGCTTGGAAGAAATCGAAAGTTAGGGCTTTAGGAAACCAGTTCTTGCCTGAGGTGGCCCTCCTGTGGAATGCTTTCAAGATTGGCTGCAGAAGCCTACAGGCAGGAGACACAGAGGATTAGAAAAATGAGGTGAATGTCACGGAATGTACCTACATGCGGGCTTTCAAGAGGTGAAGGCATAAAAGAACCCAAGGGTCCTTGACTCGATACACTTATTTTCCCTGCCATCTTGGTGCAATGCAAACTAGTTACCTGAGAGTCCCTGAACTTGAAAAGCTGGGAAAAGCCTCCCCTCACCAAAAGGCCCGTTTGGAGAATGCTCTCAGAAAGCTGATTTGCAAAACAGGCAAGAGAACTTTGCCCTGGAAAAACTCCATATTTTTGAGCAGTAAGGAAAGTTCATAAGGCCCGACCTGAGCCATTCAATGTGAGGTTACACAGAACACAGGCAGGTCTTACAGTGTCTCTCTCTTAAGCCATATCCATCAAGCATAACAAAACCTTATCTACTCATGAATCAATCTCAGTCTCCCTCATTCTCACTTTGTATCTGCAGATAGGTTCTCACTGTGTATTTCCGTCTGTCCTGGAACTCACTATATAGACCAAGCTGCCATTGGACTCCCCAAAATCCACCTACCTCTGCCTCCTAACTGCTGGGTTCACAGGCATGTGTCACCACACCCAGCACAAAAGGCATTCATAAGACAGACACAGTCATTGATTCTGTGAAGGTATTACACTAAAAACCCCATATCAAACTGTGAGAGAGTTAGTGAATTCTAAGATTCCATACTGAGCAGTTTTAATCCTGAATAAGCAAGGCTTTCTGGGGAATCAGGCATATCAAGGCAGTATGACAAGGCTTTGAGGCGCTGTCGTTTTCCATAATGTAAAAGTATGTTTCTAAGACAGAAGACTGAAGAAGAACACATGTTGATTTTCTACAACTTAAAGTTAACATTTCGGGCAAGTCAGACTAAAGGATATCATGGATTACATGGTCTGATCTCCTAGTAAACTTAACCCACAACCTAACTCCAACCAGTCTTTAATGCTCAATGAGAACAGCAGGGGAAATCTGCGCATCTGGAGATCTCCAGCAACTAGGGCCATTTTTAGTGAGGGGCAGGAAGCAGGGGACTAAGGAAGGCAGGGAAGACATACAAGAGCCACAATGCCATTTAGTTGCTAAAACTACAATTTTATTTTGTTTTGGCTTCATAAGGCTTTCAAATTGTAAGAAAATAAGGGCTATTACTATTGTTTTCAGAAAATGTTTCACTATGTAACTTAAGCTGGCCTTAAATTTGCTATCTTGCCCAAGTGGCTTCCTACTAGAAATCCAAGAAAGTTATTGTTTCTCTTAAAACAATTCAAATTTCAAGATAGAACTGAAGAAGATTTTAATTTCTTAGTCAATTTACACTTCATTATCACATCTTTGCTGGAATATACTCATTCCCAAAAGTTCAGTATTGTTAACTGTACTGTAGCACAATCACAACCAGCATTCAGGATTAATTCATTAATGGCAGTACAGCAGCAAAGTTTCCTCTTTTTCACAAGAACAGTTTAGTGTGGCAATAGAGAAACTTCTCCATGGAGACTAGTCAAATACATCTTTAAATCACATTTTTAATAGTTCAGGGACCCTTGTGTTTGTTAAGAGATGGTTCCATACACTCACACAAAGAGCTGGCAAATTCAGCCATACCACGTAATAATATTATTTAAAACTAATCTCTAAGCCACAGTCAAGATCTTTACCGATGCATTCTCCTGACAGAAACTGTAACCTCTCCATGGGTCTTACTTTGTTGTCAGACCTCTGAAGCCAGCTTCCATCTCCAAACCATACTGTCAAATTCAATAGCAAAAGATGTGGCCATCAAGATGCATTTCGGACCTAAGACAAGGGACAGGTTTGACTTCCTATTGGGTGTGGGGAGAATAGGACCATTTCAGTTTCAAGATCATTGGAGGACTTCAAAATACCTGGAGTTATTCTATAGATATTTGTAAACAAGGCTTTAAAGTTCAGTAAAAAAAGAAGCTTAAGGTAGGGCTAGGTATTAGGGAAAACTTAGGGTATGAAAACCATTTAGTAAATGAATTGCAGAATGAAAATTGCCTCCTTTGATTATAATAATTTTATATTATAGAAGAAATGAAAGGAACCTGTAGAGAAGAAAAATGACATCAAAATCAACCCATTTGTGTGGGCACAGTTATAACCAGGAGCCAAAGATGGCCCTCTCTCTGTGGGAAGACTGTGTAAGCTGCATATTCAAAAGGATGAGAAGGCCAGGAGCTCCCCAGACCTCCTACTCTCAGGCTCATGTGCTACCTGAGGACACCTACCTCTTCTTCCAGCTTCACCACCTTCGCCTGGGCATTGCTCAATGCCTGGTCTCGGATTTCAATGTGTCGCCTTTGGTCTTCATTGGTAGAGCGAGCAGTAGCCAGCTCTGCTTCAAGCTTCTCTTTCTCCCGCTGGCTTTCTTTATCTGTGAGGACATGAAATATCAATATTGTCTTCCTGAAACTGGGTCAAAGCCTTAAGTGAGCAAAACTAATATGTCATATATATTAACTACTTGACAGTGTGCACTCTTCTAGAACATGGCTAAAAGAATCAAAATTTATAACATTTAGATTTTATCACTGGATCAACCACTAACTTGTTGGATAAATAAGAAGTAATGGATAAGGAGATATAAAATGTCCTAAAAAAGAATTAAGCACTACACAAAGATGAACACACATGTATACATACATACACATACAACACAGAGTAAGTTTATTTCCTTGGTTTTGTGTTTGGAAAATGTTTGGCAAAAGAGCAACTAAGCTGAACAAAATTTCCCCCACTATCTCTTTATTCCAACATACCAAATACTCTAAATATGTTATTTCATAAAACAGAAGCAACCTCAAATCCTACTCCTTATGCAAGAACCTTTTCTCAGATCAAGACCATTAGAAAACGTGTCCTCTCTAGTGAAAGCCCGATCCAGCACCATGGCCAACCTAACTCACTGCATTTCAGTATCTACCAAGCCCGGAGTTTTTATAAAGGAAATAAGGTAAAACTGGAAGCCATCTTATATTCTTTCCTACCCTTTCTTTTGCAGGACAGATTGGGTATGGAGGGATTGTGGGAAAGAACAGGGCAGAGTATAAGGGAAAATTAATTTAGAAATATAGGCATCAATTTCATCTAAGCAAATGATTAGAGCTTTTACAGTAATAAAATATGTTTGTGTGTGTACAGTGTATTTTGCATATATGTGAACACACATGCATGCACACATGCACACAATCATATTTGGGGATGTAAATCTATGTATAATGTGTAGCCATGTATCTGTGCATATGTGTATCTCTGTGTATATGTATATTTGCATTGATAAATTCTATGTCATTAGAATGGAAGAGTCACTAATTACTGATTGCATTCAGAAGCAGAGTAACGCACATAAAGATGAAAGCACTGAGAAGTCTCTGTCAAGCAGGGCAAATCAAAGATACTAGAAATGAAGAGGAGAAAGGCACGGAAATAGAGAAAATGGAATCCAAAGAGCATTCAATCCTTTATCTTTGTTCAGATAAAATTGAACAACTGAAATCTATAGCAAAATGTGTACTAGGAGATGATATAGCAAAACGATGTGGTATTTATCTCAGCCATGCAAGGGTGGTTCCATAAATACCACAGCTCTTGGGCCTAAATCTATAATAAGCCATTTAAACAGGACCTTGATTCTAACTTCTACCCTGTCTTAACCTTCCTGACTTCAACATGAAAAGCAGTTAGGCCAACTACCAACCATATTTTAAATTCTTTTTATTCTAAAATAGAATAATAGAAAATTGTGACTCTATTCTAACAGAGATTTAAAAAGCTGAATTAAAAAGAAAAGATTGAAGAGAGATCTATAGAGAGCTCTCACAGAAGTGAAATTCACAGGGCAAGCTTCTGTCCTCAAAGTAGGAGGTAGGTGGACAGAGAATCACAATTTACCGAATTAGAATTCCATGGGCAAAGACCATGGAAACCATGGGAGCTGGTTAGGAAACCCTGCATGACAACTGAGGAATCGCTAGCAGCTCAGTATGTACAAATGTGAGAGCTAATTCCTGGGAGAGGCGCTCATACTGAAACACCCACATTTTTGGAAGTTTTTTGCCACCAGGTGTTCATCCAGGGTTCTCCCAGGAGGCCAGAAAAATATGTTATCAGCAGTAGGAGGGGAAAGAACCCATCCTGAAACAGACCAGACATTTTGTTTTTCTCAACAAGACATGCCCTGAGGAGAAACTTTAACCAAAAGCTAACTTGCAGAAATACTTTGGATACTAAGCAGTCTGGAGGAACGATGACAAGGTCCATTTAAACATGTTCCAGGCCTCAGAAAAATAAACACCTGACTCTAGGCCCCTCTGATGGCACTGCAGTAAATACGGGTGGGGAACGAGCCACATTCATAAGGTTTACAATCCAAAAGCACAGACTCAAAATAAAAACCAAAAACCTAATCAAAGTGCTAGAAATCATTTCACTTGTTGAACAGCCCATGCCACATCCGGAAGGAGTCTTCTGCTCAGAACAATACAAGGCAAGTATTGTTCAAAGACTTGACTACTGCAGTCCTTCTTAGCCACCATGTAATTTCTGCTACTGAACAGCATAATCAAAATAGCAGTACTCTTTTTAAACTAAAGGACAAAATGCACACAGTTTTCTAAAAGACACGGCCTGCATCAGGAGCAGACCCAGGTAAGTCAAGGATGTTGGAATGGTCAGATCATAACTTTGAAATTAATGCCTTTGATTAATAAGCTTTAAGTTTTTAATAAGAAAATGTAGACAGTATGCAAGGTCAGGAAAGTTATAGAAGTAGAAAGACGGACATTCTAAGAAAGGATAAAAACACTTTACGGATGAAAGTATAGGCAACACTGCTGTTTTCGTTAATCCATATTAGTTAAGGATCCAATGAGATAATATAACGTATTTAAATGAGAGAAACATGAAAAACACCAAGAAAGCCTACTAAAGAGAATAATAATCACCGTCACCATAATTGATGATGGAAAAGAATCACAGTTTCAAAAATGTCTTTTACTAAGATGTGAATGATTCTTTTATATTAGTTTTTACAATGTGAAGGCTAAGTCTCACCTGTAAGAATAGCAATTTTGTTTCTGAACTTGACACTAAAAGTATAGCTACAAGGGACCTTGCCATATACAGCTATGGCTCCTCATGTTTTTCCAGGTTCTTCTGTTATCTAGGACAAACCTCATGCCAGAAACTCAAACAAATAGATTTGGACCTTATCTTCATGATGCCAGCGTGGTCTCATTTCCCACTGTGACATTATATACATCGATCTGAATAGATGTACCATGAAAAGCAATGAGCATTTGCTGAATGTTCACTACATATCAGGCATTGTGCTAGCTTAATCCTCAGAACAAGGATATGAGGTATTATTCTTCTCTTCTCTAGTTTGCATATGAGGAAACAGGACTTAGAGATCAAGCACGACTGCGTTGTAAGAGCTCCCACATCTGAAAATGTGGAATGGATTCCACACTTAAGCTCAACCTATTCAAAGTCTTTTCTACTGTACCCAACTGCCTTCTGGGTTAAACTGCTTCTGTCTCTCCGGTTGCGAGAGTATACTCCCAGGGAAGGCTGTTCAAAAGAGCTTCCTTCCTTCCTGCTACAGTTCCCACCTTGCAAGAAGGTTTGGATGCCCAAAGGCAAGAGAATTAAAGGGGTCAAAAGGCATGCTCTCTTCCCCACCTAGTTTTAGAACTGCTGAGAGTGCTTCACTCTGCTGTTAATGTAATTTGGTTTAGCAAATAACTATATTTTTTAAACCCACAGCAGAGCTCCGACAGCACCTGAAATAGCATTTCCTCACAGAGAAGAGTGTAAGCTAGCAGGTCCAGGGCAAGAATCCATATGTTTTGTTTTACTCTGGGAGACTGCCACCATCTTCCTGCCACTGAACTAGCTTCCAGGGTAACTGTGACACCACAAAAGCAACTTCACAATTTCCCCTAGGTTCTGATGACACCAGAAAAACAGCATTCCTCACTCTTACACTACCGCCAAAGAACTGGGAGGCTCAGGGCAAAGAGGAAGAACAAAACTGTTCAGAAGTCAGAGCACAACAGAGTAACCCAGGCAGGGATGGGAATATTGGAAGTGAAGATCAAACAGACTTGTAAAAGCTAACTGGAAACTGCACAGAATGACATGAAAGGGTCACTGGGAGGCCCAGCAAAAATAAAAGAGTCTGACAAGTCCCCAACAAGCAGGATAGCAGTGGGAGCTGCACTGAGGGAGGCTGGGGCAGGGCAAAGCCAAACTTAGGCATCTGCAGAAACAAGGACAGTTCATCTGTTCTCAACCCAATTTATTCTCCCAGCGGACTCAATCTACTATGAAGTTTTTATTGTTGCTTTTATTATAGCAATTGGAAAGAATTAGGCATTGTCTTGCTGGGTGGAGTCCATTAGGGGCCGATAAAGAAGAGGATTAATTCATTGTTACAGTCCTAGGAGTATTTCCAGACAAAGGAAACCCTATTATGAGGAAAGTACAGCTCTGCCCAGCCCTGTACCCTCCAACTCTGCAAGCAGAACCATGAATTCAGGTCATAGCAGAGCAGAGGCCCGTCTTTCTCTGACTGTCTTCACAATCTCCCAGTGGGTAATAATATGATACAACAGTAAGCGTTTAATAGGGGTGCAGGCTGGGGATTCCAAACATTAACCATTGTCCTGCATGCCCATCCCATCTACCAGAGCCAGTATATGGAAGCACCTACAACGATCCCTTCAGCATGAATAAGGACAAGATTCCCTAAGGTCTTGTCTCAGCCATGACAATGGTGGGGACCCAAGTGGGCTTTTTCTGACTTAGTCCAGAGAGTAGTGTGACTGGAGGTTGTGGCAGCAGCCTTCCTGGTGTTTCATGAAGCAGCAGAAGAAAGACATTCATTCTCTCCCGGTTGTTTGGAGAAGGCTAAAGAGTCAGGCACCATTGACATAAACTTTTCTTCTATCCACACCAGCAACATTTCCAGAGCAGTTACCGCCCATCCACACATTCATACCTGCCTGTAGCGTTTCCAGACTTACTTTTGGCAAAGAGCTGAGAGATGGTTTTCCTGGTGTCCTCTGAGCCTTCGTACTCCTTTTCTGCCAGCTGCTTGTTGGCAGTCTCTAGACGGTCTGCGGGATGTGCAGAAAATCAGCAGGGCCTTACACATACCCTTCCAAGTGCTTGGTGTTTGTCTTCTAAATACTGGCCTTTGGCAAAAGGCAGCATCTTTTTTTGACAATAAGGATGGGTGACACAGACCTGAGTTTGTAAATGTGAATCTCAAAACAGTAAAAGACCTAGTAAAGCAAGAGCCAATGTAGGGAATGCATGCTTTCAAGGGTCTTATGGGCATTATGGAGCACAAAGCCAGCAAGGACAATGTAGTAAGTTCTAGGCCAGCCTAAACTATGTAGACCTTATCTCAAACAAACAAACAAACCAACTACCAAGTTACTCTCACTAGTCCCTTACCTCTCAGATCTCTGTTGAAGTCATGCATCCTTCGAATCTCACCCTCCAGCTTGTTCCTCATGGCTTTCTCCAGATTCTCTCCTTTAGAAGATGACTTCACCAAATTCTCATATGCCTCTGAGACCCGCTGAATTTCTGTCTCCACCTTAACATTAAAAAGAAAGATGGTGTTGCTGCTAAAAGTTTAATGGGAAAGACAGTTTAGAACCGTACATACAATACTTCAGTGGCATCTTTTTTCAGAATTTACATATGGCCAGGAAGCAAGTGTAACATATTTAAGAACTAGGTTTTCAAAAAAGACTGTGAGCTCAGTAAATGATTTGTCTGCTTCATAGGATTTCCATAGGACAAAGGTGTGCATGTGTGTGTGTATTTCTGTGGGGGTGGAGTCGGGGCTGGGCACTGTGATTTCTGCCTCATGGAAGGCAATAAGATAAAATAGACTTCACACGATTTTAATTTCTATTTTTTTCTGATTGTGAAAATATTAATAATACTGTATATTGTATAGCAATAACTTTCTTTTGAAGCCCTCAGAGCACTTCTGTGTGGTTCTCTCATTTTGCCCTGACATCTGCCCAGGCGATGTAACTTGACCCATGTTAGCAGAGAGAGTAGTTAAATCACCTTTACCAAGAACAAATCAGCAAATAGTCAGCCTCATGCAGTATAATTCAATTCAATTCAATTCCCTTTCACAACTAGCCAATCAGGATTCAGACAGTCAAGAAGACACAATTACGCTGTCAAGTGTGCAAATCTGAGCGAGAATGTCCACATTATCCTCTCCTCCACTACAATCAAGCCAGAAAACTTAGGGCCAGACACAGCCAGAAGGGAATAAGGAGCAATGCAAAAAAGAAAAGAAGTTATCCCTGGTTGGGGGAGGGGAGGAAAATAATTTCAGGGAGAGATGGCATTTGGAGTCAGATCCTGAAAGTGGGATTGGATTTCAATGGGCAGAGGTGAGGGGAAGGGTATTCTATTCTGAGTAAGCAAATGCATTCCCAGAGTGGCCAGGAGTCTCATTTGACTGGACACTGTGTGGTAGCCACAGGGAATCTAGAGGGATATGGCTGTGAAGATAAGTGCAGTCAGGTCATAAAATGGTTTCAAATGCCAGGCATTTGGACTTTATCCCGCAGTCACCAGAGTCAGTTGGAAACTCGTACCGATTTTTAACTCGAATTCATAATTTGTGTGGTTTTATGACACTTCTCTGCAAGTCTTATAAAATGAGAAGAAAAGACCAACGCTCTTGTCCAGAATTAGGCAGAATCAGGAAGAAAAGACGAAATTAGACTCTAGAGTTTCTCTGCCACCAGTCCAGCTCCCGTGCACGTGTAACAACCGCAGAGATTATTTGCATATAATTTGTATAAGACAAATAAACCCCATGGCCTATTAAGCAATTTTCAAATTAAGGCTGACTCCTGTAACCACTCTGCATTTCGACTCAGCTTTCCACTCTTCCTAAACAAAGCTCACGGTGCTTTGGGAGGGGGGTGATAAACAGGCGCCCCAATTGAGGGTGGAGGAGGAGCGGTTGGGCTACAATCAGTTCCAATTCCAGCTGCCCCCATCTTCAAAATCCTGCTGGAGACAGAAGTGCCTGCAAACAAATGAGGCTCACTGAAAAGAGCAGACTTGAAAGTGTTTTTCTCCTTGCAGATGGCACCAAGATAGCAGCACAGAAGGTGAAAACTGGTGAATGGCATTTAGAGACAAGATCTGCAGGGCCTGCGCCTGGTGAAGGCTTTTGCAGGAAATTCAAGTGCTGCAGAGGAGAAAATAAACATTTCCATTTGAAAGAGCAGGCTTGGTGTTGGTCTGCAAGAGGCAGCCAAGAGAAAGTGAGTGAGACTTCCTACTTGCTGCCCAGGGCCCAGAGAAGGCGGCACCTAGAAGACAGCCCCTATCTCCAAGTACACACATAGTCTGCCTGGGAAGAAGCTGTTGCTAATCCTTCTCCTTCCCCTTCCCCTTGTGGAGATACTGTCCTCTTACTAAGAGCAGTGCAACAAGGCCTTCACAGAAAGGCCAAGAAGGGCCGATCCAATGACTTGGTGTGGGTGGTAGAAGGCCTGGAAGACAGGGAGAGTGGTGGTGGGTTTCAAGATTGTCTTGTTCTACTTTCTGTCCCCAGGAACCCCCAGTGCTCACTCGCTCACTCTCCTTCCTTCCTTCCTTCCTTCCTTGCTACCTTCCTTCCTTTTTTTCTTTCTTTCTTCCCCCTCTTTTTCCTTTCCCTCCTTCCTTCCTTCATTTCTTCTTTCCTTTTTAACTCTACTATCTGGTGTATACCATATTTTTCCTTTCATTTTCTTCTCCCCTTTCTGTTCCTTTTTCTCTACCTCGGCATTGGCTAGAACTGGCTTCTCCAGACGCGCAAGCTATGATGATTGTGTTTTTCTGACATACGTCAGTACAAGGACCAAACAATAAAGAAAATTCCTATTTTGCTCTCTGCCCTAGTCATCTGACCCAGCTGCTAGTGTCACCAGGGATCCTTGACAAAGATGATCTGAGCTCAGGAACCAGTAATTATGTCATAGATAAGGCCAGGCCACCCAAATTAAAAGTTAGAGGAGGTCGAACCAGCTAAACAGGGTTTCTAGTCAATCGACAAAATTCATTTATAGCATTAGTGCAATGTGAGAGAGGGGAATTGTCAAACTGAGAAGAAAGAAAATATAAAATCAAGACAAAATAATAGCTCTCCATCTATCCCAATAGCCCTCAACCGGATCTGAGGAAACTGAGAAAGGGGGCATCTCTTCCACATAAAAACCACTTCACTATGGAAAAAAATAAGGCTGCTTCTCCTTTAGGTAAAAGATCTGCTGTTAGCACATTCTTAGTTTTGTACAGGCCCTGAAATTTCCATTCTTGTTGTCTCCTAGGGATAGAGCTGCTGAACAATACAAGGCTACCATCCTTCCCTCCCCACCTTTGGCCGCAACTTCCTGAACAGTCAGCAAGGAGATCATGTCACATGAACTCCTCAGGGTCAAAAGCTACAGAGGAGCCGAAGGCAGAACTCTATTCACTCTGCCACCCAGGCAAGAACTGAGGTTCGGTCCTCAAGGCCCTCAACTGCTGAATTCCCAGCTGCAGCAGAAGGTGGGGGTGAGGGAACAGGGAAGAACGGGAACTGGGGACACACACTCCTTTTTCTATTTCTTCTGCCTAGGGCTGTCACCTGTCACCCAGCTGTGGCGCTAAGCGCCTTTTGTGTGTCACCCTCAACACACACACACACACACCAGGGAAATAGAGCAGATGCCGAAGCGGATCTGTGCAGAAAGACCAAAGCAAATGTGGGGAGGAGGGCTAGTGTCAAAGAAGAATTTGGAAGAGAAGTCCCACAAGGAAGAGCACTGTCAGCTTTTTCCTGAGCCATACAAAATCTCAGCTGGTGGGATTTTTCTAGAAACTATGAACTATGGCTTTATACTTTTGACTCAAAATCATATGGGGAAAATATAATCAAGACAAAAAGCCTTTAAATGCTGGCAGGTTTTCCATGAGCACAGACCTTACTAATATTCTTTATGAAGAAGTATATCTGATGACTTTTTGAATAAAATAATGAACCAAGTCTTTCTTTAGGGTTATAGAGTCTGGGACATCTATAATATTTTTCTTTTAGTATAAAAGCCAAATGTTATCTCTCTTAAAGAAAAAGGGGGAACAAAAGATGGTAGCAAGTGTTTATATAATACAAGTACATGATAAGCATTGTGAAAATTTCATCATGAAGTCCATTGTTTTGTTCTTAATTTATGATAATAAAAAAAGTTAGTTATCCTAGACAGACAGACAAAGCTTTTACATAAAGTTTGAGCAACATCAGAGGAAGAATTTGAAAGATCTACCCACACGAGATGGTAAGCACACACAGAGGAAACCTTTTTATGATAAGTGCACACAGACAAAACCTTTATATAGGTATTTAACAGGTCCCCACCAGTACGATTCAAAGAAGCCGCTATTGACCCTCAAGGGGAGCCATACCTTCTGCAGTCTGGCCACCTTCTCATAGCATCCATCCAACTCCTGCCGCAAGTTCCGATTCTCGTCAGAGAGGATCTCAACCATCTGCTGGGCTCTCGAGACGATGGAGAAAGGGTCAGCTGGCAAGGGCTGATAAGAAGCAGACGGCTGAGCCCGAAGCATAGCTGAGTAGGCTTCTCCCGGCTGCTGCTGTGGTGCTGGAGGAGGCAAGGCGGGCTGGGAGAGACGGTAGTGGTCCCCCTGGTGACTCTGATTCGGAAGAAAGTGTTGCTGCTGCCTTGGCAGGTGTGTAGAGTGGTCGCCTTGGTTTGCGGCCAAAGCGTGTTGGGCAGAAGACAGTCTCGTAGATGGTGGAGACTGCAGCAACTGATTCCCGGTCGTCAAGGAAGATGTCGGGCTGTGAGGCTGAGAATTCCTTGCCGACAAAGACAGCGAGATGTCCTGCGTTGTCCTGAAAAACACAGAAGGCCAGCTCTGATAAAGTTCACTTCCAAGGCACAAGTAAATGACACAAAGGGATAGCCCCAAAATACAGGTAAAATGCATAGCAAGCAGAATTAGATCCCCGCCAAAGAACTCTAGCGTCCCATTCTTACCGAGACATCCTGTGGCTCTGTCCAACAGCTACTGCTCACTAGCTATGAAGCCTTTGGAGATGAAACCAGATAACCTCTGAGGTAAGTATGAAAATCTTAAGATGACTATCTCCACATTCATTCCTTAGTCATTTAAAATTCCTTTTGTACAAAGTAATGCTCATGACCTGACTGAAAACTGAACCTGTCTGGGAAAAACTTTATGTATGCAGAGACTTCAATTTAGAAAATATGTTTACTTGGTTACTTAAAACAGTCGCTCGGTTGCCTTTCGTGGTCCTATCTGCAACTACCTTTGAGAATTCATACACTCAAGAATTTCTCAAAGAGACAAAGATATTTATTAAACTTAAAACACCAAATAATTATTGCTCATTCCAGTTATCAATTTAATAATACACATTAAGGAGCAATATGGAAGCTTGGAGAAGATAGAGGCAACACTATTATATTATTTATAGCACACTGAATCACAAAATTTAGGAATTAGAAAGACTTTAAAGGAATTATTTTCTTGTATAGGATGAAACTAAAACCCAGAGAAGGAAAGAGATGTGCTGAGGGATTGGATATGGTGCAGAGCTGAAACACAAGCCCCGAGTACATAACATAAAACCCCAAGTCCCGTCCCGAATGAAACAAACAGAAAGAGAAAGAAAGCCAAAGCCAGAGATCTGGGGAAGAGTGAACTATGGTGTTAGTTCACTCCACTCCCACCTCTGGCTTCCTGAATTTCTAAGCAGTGCTGTACAAATCCCCAACCTATTGCTTACAGAAGGTCTCAGAAAGAAAACTTGGGTACACTGTTTAATATGGCTTCCTGATTTTTGGTAACTAATTACGAGACACGAAATATTAATACGTAAGTACAAATAATTTGTGCATAACTCTTAACTAAAACAATCAAAGCATATGGATGTGTTATTTCCCATTATCAACACTATCAGGAAGCATTTGTGTCTGTTTATTCTGAAGGCAAAAACATTTTTCATCCCCTGGCACAGGCTGAACTTTATATGTTCCTGAATTTCTCAATTCAGGGAAGACAGAGGACTAAGAACATGATTTAGATACCAAAAAGGGGACTTCAGAGACTTTTGGTACTACTTACTAGCTCTGTGAAACCTTGTTCAAATTTCTTAGTATAGAAGGAGAGATAACTCAGTAATAAGAGTAGTGGCCCAGTCAGAGACCCCAGCTTTGATTCCCAGAACGCACATAACAGCCATGTTTCAGGAGATCCGATGCGGTCTTCTGACAGGTATCCCGCATGCATAGAGAGCACAGACTTACATGCAAGCAAATCACCCATACACATAAAATAAGTCCTTCTTAAATTTATCTTGCTGGGCATGAGGGCACACACCTTCAGTCTCAGCACTCATGAAGAAGAGGCAAACCGATCTGGTCCACATACTGAGTTCCAAAATAGCCAGGCTTCAAATGAATTACAAAAATACTGGGAGCTCTACCTGTTTTGACTCAGTAAGAACTATAGCTTTTTTTCTACCGGTGAGATATGTTGACCTTGTTAGTGTCTTCCTGTTAATCTTTGTGCTAATTTGTTTAAAATTCTTGACAGAAGTTGGACAAGTGAGCAGAAGCCATTAACTTTTCACTAGCAATCCAGACACTTTAGCACATGTCTTTCTCACACACTCCAGTAACCAGCGTCCCCAACCACTCCTCCCTGTATAGGCTGTTTACAACCTAATCATCCCAAATATTTGTTCATGGACACAGCCAGTGACCTCAATACTTAACAAAAGTACTAAAACCTCTTTATACCCGGGGTCTGTCCCGCAGCCTCATACATGCCTCTAACATACACACAATTCTTCCAATTTTACACACTTGTCGCTGGCACTAATTGGTAAATATGGAAGAAATCGTGTAAACTACTTGAGCATACAAGAAATGACACACTAGTCAAGCCTACAACTGGAGAGCTGATGCCATACATAACCTTTCCTCCCGAGAGCCCGGGGTGGTTTGTGAACTTACATGGTGAAAGGTTTCCACTTCCCATCCTGTACATCTTCACTTTCTATACAGGTAAAAACAACCGTGTGCTTCCTTCCCAAGAGCTGTTTTAATATGTCTAATGCAGAGCTGGAATGTCCTGAGATTTGGGAGGAGGGGGCCTTTGAATATCTTGGGCGAAAGAAGGTCTTAAATTTCATGTTCTCCAACCCTACTTTCAAAATGTAAGGAAAAAAAAATCCCAGCACTATCTTTTGCCCTCGTTCTCAGGATCTGAAAGTCCACTGCCTGAGGTATATCTCTCAAAGCTTGAACACATAGTTTCAAACAGGGCTTCCTCTCCATGGCTCCCCTGGGAGCTTATCAAGCATAAGGGGCTTTTTACTCAAACAGACTTAGGCATCTGCTTCCCTCCTCCCTGAAGGGTGAATGGCCTGTCAAGGCCCTGGACAGTGCACAGCTTCTCAGGGGTCTAGGAAAAGATACTGCACGGTTTCCGGAAGGTCTCTGGGGTCAGATAAGCCCAGTATGAAGATAAGCCAAAACAAAGCAGCTGCCCCTTGACTCCCCAGGCCACAAAAGGAAGCAGGGTGCTGGAAAAACCAAGGCAGTCCTTTGCTGGCAGATTTGAAAACAAGTAAACGCTTGGGTAGTTGAAAAAGTAGGGACCCGCTCCAGGCAAAAGAACTCCAGCTGGGCTTCAACATCTGCCCACCATCAAAAGGCAGGGCGATGGTAACCATGAAATAAGGGTCTGTTGGAGAACAGGGGGCTCAGGAAAGAAGACACAGGTTGAGGAGAACTCCAGCCTATGTCACAGGAAACAAAAACACACTGAAGACTAAATAATAAAAGAAAAAGTAATGATAGCAATAAAGTGGCCAAGGCGAAGGCAGTGCACTCTTGAGCTCCTCCACCCCACAGCATCTCCAAACACTCCCCACTGAGAACTAACTGGGAACAAGGAGCCACCAAGGAGACAGTAGAATCACATGATCCAGGGACAATCCGATCTGCCCCTCTGCTCCTTCTCTCAACATCCAACTCCTTAAGACTCACGGGCTACTAGTGATCTGAAGAAGAGGGGACTTGGCTGGCTATCTACGGAAGAGACCACTCACCAAACTTAAGCTGCTCCCCAAACCTGCATTGAGAGAGTCAATATATTCTCAAAAATAGCTTGTAAAGACAAAAAGGGAAAGTAACATACACACACACACACACACACACCCCTAGCAAATACAGACCTTCCCACCTGCTACCTCTATAGGGTCCCCATCCTCTTCAGTCACTCACACATGCGCCCACATGAGTATAGGCATCTCTCTCTCTCTCTCTCTCTCTCTCTCTCTCTCTCTCTCCCTCTCCCTCTCCCTCTCCCTCTCCCTCTCCCTCTCCAGAGCAGGTGCCACCAGCAACCTATAGCTGGCTTCTCACCACAGAAAGGGTGCCTCTCCCAGGCTCTGACAGTGACTGTGAATCGTGGAACAGCTTGTGAATAATTCCAGACCGTTCCAATTGTACAAGTAGCTCTGTTCTGAGCTACAGATTTAGGTCACCCTGAGATTCTGTTCAACAAGCATTTCAAGGAACCTCAGATCTGGGCATGATTTCAACACCTGAAAGGGGGTGGCTGCTATATAAACAGAAATTATTTTAATTTTTTAAAAGCACTTGATCGGTGTATAAGCCCAGGATATAAAACAAAACAAAACAAAACAAAACAAAAAAAAAAACAGTTCAGTACTCAGACAAAGATTTAGAAATTTAATAATTCTTCTCATGGTTTGGCCTTATTTCCCCATCTGGAGCTCTGAGCATTCAAGCTATTTATTTTTCTAAGGAGGGAGGAGGGCATGGGGATGATGAAGTAATCAAAGGACTGTTTATAACATTGTGTTCATTTGAACAGCAAATCAACAGTTCACCGACTCTCTCAAGGCAAATGAAGGCAGCGTTTCCTTTCTAAGGGCACTTTCTTCAGAAAAACTGACATTTTATCCTGATCTGTCATCTGCGGGTTCAAAATTAAGAAGTAGGCTTTCTATTTTTTTTTTTTAATTTTTCTGCGAGCTGCAGCTACTTGGGAAGATATTCACAGGCCATATAGGAAATCAAGCAGGAAAAGGTGTCAGCGTGGAAAAGTAGAAGACTTCTGGAAAGCTGTTCGACTGCGTCCGCCTGTCAAAGATCCTTCAATAGGTGCCACTCCCCCACGCAGGGCATGCAAAACGCTTAGAGATAGAATTTGTTGGATGTATACCCAAACTTTACATGGAAAACCTCTAGCTTAGGCAATTTTATTATTCATCCAGCATATCAATATTCTGTTCCTGTCCTGCAGAGAAGCAACTGTTAGAGCCTACCAGTGTGTTAAAATACTGCTCAAGGGCTGGGGGCGGAACTCGGAAGGGCAGGGCGCTTGCTGATGCCCAGCACCAGCCAAACAAAAAACAAAAAAAAAAAAACAAAACAAAACAAAAAAAAAACAAAAATCAAAAATACCAAAAACAAAAAACAAAAACAAAGGTAGGTCAGCATAGGCTTTGTTGTTTCAAGGGCCATGAATTGAGATCCACAGATAATATAGAAGGAAAGAGAGAAGATACATATCTTCCTATAAAATATGTGCAGCTTAATTTCTCTGGTTGTTTAATCAGTATGGGAAGGAAAAACCCCTCTTTGTCCCATTATTTATTTAGGCAGATCAAAGAGCTTTTCCATCTAGCTTCAAACACTGTGGGAGTCATTTCAGATCACAAACAATACTGGTGAATGAGTTCTGAAAATAGCTTTCCTGGGAAGGCGGGCCATGTGCTGAGCTGGGGCTTTGGCTTCAGCTCCACACCCTAGCCAACACACTCTTCCACAAGGCAACAGATCAGTAGCCCATCCACGGGCCAGAAGGGAGACAGTGCCTCCAATGCTTCCATACTGGTGGGAAAAGCAAAACAAAAGCCCTAGGCTTCCTTGACATTTTCCTAGCTTGAATGGATTTCCACTAAGCTATGCAGTCCAAGAGTGCAGGCCCTCCCTGGGTCTTCCATTTCACTGGGCAGATGGGAGTTGGGCTCTTGTAGTAGTTGAAAGCTAAAGGGCCCCGTTCTTATCCCATTTTCTGTCCTGAGATGATTATCAAAAATCAGGCTCCTGCCTTCTGAAAACTTCAGAGGAACTTTCAAAGGGTTAAGAAATCACCCTGGGTTAAGGAGAAAAGAAAAATCCTAAACCAGTAAGGCAAGGGGAGGAGCCTAAAATGAATTGCCTCTGGTCAAGAAAAAAAAATCAGGACCTGGAGGGGAGAAAAGAAATACCAGGAAATGCTAGGTAACTTCTCTTACCTCCGCCCTACTCCACCCCAAGTGCCTTACCTCCTGACTCACCAACTTCAAGCCAGGAGGTTCTTTCCCAAATGAACAAATAGACAAGAGGCGAGGAAGATACCAATGAGATCACAGTCTTGGACTGTGAGCCACCTAGGGCTTCAAACCTTATGGATACCCATCATTACCTAAACCTGGTAAGAGGTCAGGATGCCAAGCGTAACTGCTGCACTGCTGGCTTTGTTTAACCGTTCCCCCGCACCATGTCCAATTGTACCAAAGAGTAGTAATATAACCAATAAAAAAGAATCAGGATTGGGTGAATAGTAAAAATGACAACGGGTGCTGAATGATTAAGAAATATACTTAGGAAGAACAAAAGGTATAAAACGGAAGGGTTGGGCATAGTTTTGCACATAGATTTTTAGTATCTGGAAGAACTTCTACAGAGATAATGTGAATTTAACCTAGATGCTTAAAAACATGACAGGCAGCTGCCTAATGAGCTCTCTCCAGAAGAACCAAGAAGCACCCCCCCCAAGACATTTTCTGAAGGTCAAGGCAAGGAACATTCTGAGCCAGCACATGTATATAATTCTTCTCCCACCAACAATCGTATCTGCCTGGCTCTTGAGTGTCAAAAAGTATCACAATAATTCTCTGAGACAGTACAACTAACAGGAAACAAACAGATTGCTCCACACACACACACACACGGCCGTGAACTGTGAATGATGGAAGGGACACAATGTGGCAGACTTATTAAAGCCCAAGACAACCTGCTTCTATTGCTTAAGGAAAGCCTTTTAAGAACTCACAAGATTAGAAACAATGACCCTTCTTCCAGAATCCCAGGAGACAAGAGAGCACATCAACACTAAAATGAAGCACTGCTTTTCTCTACAGCCACTGGGAAGTTTGTTATATCAAGCACCTGCCCATTCCTTCCCTTTCCCAAAAGGCAGCAAGAGAGGCTGGTTGGGGATGAGGCCAGGAAATGACAAAAAGGGAACTCTTACCTGGCTGCGCCATACTCAGGGGGGTGCTGATATCTCATCAGTTGCCCCTCTGTTCTCCCTGGCTGGTTCAGGCGATGCTCGCTATAGAAGAGCCCTGGCTCTTGGGGCTTGCACACTACAGACTGGGATGGTATGCCCTTGAAAGGGTATTCTGGTGGGGGGCCTCGTTGTTCCATGCCCTTCAGACTATGTTGGCTGGGAGGTGGCCCTTGAGCCTTGTAGAAGTCACTGGAACTGGTGGGATTCTTGTAGAGGTCACTGGGTTGTGGTGGGGAGAGGGGAGCACTGGTTACAGGTGGGTGGGCTTTCACTCCACTGGTAGCCAGTGACATCTGCATTAGTCTTTCACTCAGGGATCGGACATGCCCTTGCTTAAGGTCTCTAAGTCCTTCATCTTGGTGCATCTTCCCAGGATTGAGTCGCTGCACTGATGGGCGTCCCTCGGTTCTCATCTTCTGGTTAGTGACTCCTGTGACATAGAAGGCAGCGCCAACACTAGCATGCTGTTGGCCCCGGAAGTATTGTGACTGGACCTTGGCTTCTTCATAGGTCGGCAGTTCCTCATTATTCTGCATACGAGGGGACAGCTGCTTCTCCATGACGATGTTTTCTGACTGGATTTCCTGGCCCTGGGGTTCTTGTCGAGCAGGGTGTGCCACGAGCTGCTGGTGGTGATCCTGGGGACTCAAAACGTCGGTCTGAGGGCCGGGGTTCCCACTGCCAGCGGAGAATGGGGGGCTATTCCCTGTGGCCTGCTGGTGGATGGCAAGCAGATTACGATTCTCACTAGGATTGCCATAGCAAAGCTGCTCTTAAAGCAGGCGTTGCAATACCGTAGTTCCTCCACTTGGCTGTTCTTCAGAATTTCTCATCTCTATAGCTGGCGTTGCTTTGTGAAGAGAGAGAGAAATTGGGCACTTGGGCTGCCCTTGACCTGGGAAGGGGAAACAGGAAGCTTAACATCCAGGTGATGGATTAATCAGTACTCTAAAGGGGAAGAAAATGTGTTTTTGAAGGGGAGGAATCCATTACAGAAACAAAACAGAGGAATTGCATTCATAAATCGTAGATTAATTCCATGCTTCTTGTCTTTAGCACTGATAGGTTGAGGAACATTTAGGTCAAAAAGTGGTTACCTCTTTTACCATGATCTAACTAATCTTGACTTACTTTCTAAAAGGAGTGGGCCAGCAAGGAGGAGTCAAGTAGGACGGTCAGAGCGGGCAGTTTTCTAAGACCCTTTCAAGTTTCATCTCTCTTTACTCTATTTAAATCAAAAATAGAAATGTTATGCTATGGAGGTAGAGACAGAGAAGTGGGCAGAGTTACCCCCTAAACAGGATTTATGAATAAGTTCAGCATGTAATATAGGAAAAATAAAATTCAAAACAATAACTTATGCAAATAATAGGGAAAGAGAGCTTAGCGAGCACAGGCATAAATGAACCCTGCCTCAATGTCATTTTTTTCTCAGATTGCCTATAACTCCGAAACATAATCTTAAAAACATCTTTTTAGTATCCATTTTGGATGCTCCATTACTTAATAAGAAAATAGCTTTGAACAAGTATTACTGACGCATTTCTCTTAGGCCATCAAGGAGAGACATTAAGGCAGCTTGCTGTTGGTGTTGGGTAGGACAAGTGGATAGGGGGAAGAACCTCTGACATTTAGAAACTAAAAAATCCAAGTCCATCCTTCTGAAACAACATGATGACCATGGCCCTGACCACCTCCATCAGCTCTTCTAAAGAGTTACTATGGAACTTGTCAAATAGACAGCAGCAGCACAAATTAAGATCCACGTCAAAAGACTATGGCAATATCCAAGGTAGCCTAAGCCAGTGCTCTTCTTTTCATAACTTCTGTATCCCCATCTGAAAAATTGAAGGGCAAGTCACATGCACCACCCCTTCCCTCTTGACTCCTGACTTGTGCATGTCCATTAACCAGACACTCAAAGACTCTGTAAAGAATCTGTCCTGCTAAACACTGAGCGTAAACAGCAGTGCTAAAGCATGAGATTTTCACTGTAGAAGTGTGAAGTAACTTGGTGTGCATGGACATGTCACACAAAAGTCACTGTAAGGGCCAATCTACTGAGTGTTGGGTTTCCACATGAAAATCCCGCACTCTACCTACCAGGTCTTTATCTCGACAGTAACTCACACCCAGCTCTCTGCAAATCCCTTTCCTTAGTGCTGCAGGGCATCCAGAATGGGGACAGCAGATGGACATGCTCAGCCTCTGGCTTCTCTTCCTTCTTGATGCCTATCACTACATGCCTTCCAACTGTTCTATGGAATGAGCTAACCCAATGGTTTCCCCCCCAAAAGCACGTTTTATCATTTTTTTATTCGGATATATAATTATCTTATTGATGGGTTTGTTTTGTGATATTAGAAATGGAACTCAGGGTCACAGGCATGCTAGGCAAGCACATTACCTCTGAGCTACATTCCCAGCTCAAAAAAAAAACCCCAACTCTTTTTGTATCTCATCCCTATTTTGGAGGAAAGTGTAAGCTAACCACCGAAAGGCTACCTAACTTAGCCTGTAATCATATTCCTCTCCACTCCTGTGACACTCTGTGGTTCCCAGATTTGGACTCAAGACTCAAATTGAAAAATCTCTTCTGTTGCCTGAAATTGGACAGATGACTACCAAATTCTTTTCTTATGGCAAAAAAAAGGTAGAAACAAGAATGTTTGTAGGTAAGACAAATATTACCTCTAACCCTCTCCCACAAGGCAGGAGAATGTAGACACTGAGCTGTCCCAGACCCCATACCTTCAAAGGTATGCCACCCCCTCCCATGCCACACCCGTCCTCCAGCACACACACATAGGCTCCCAGGCATGTGCTCCTGTGGCTCAGCACGCACAAACGCAGGTCCCATCTGCTCAAGCACGTGTGCTCAAGCACGTACACAAATACACACTTGCAAACACACACTGAGAACTCAAGAACAATGAATGGCAATGGGTTTTTGATCCTACTGCACGTACTGGCTTTGGGGGAGCCTAGGCAATTTGGATGCTCACCTTACTAGACCTGGATGGAGGTGGGCGGTCCTTGGACTTCCTTGGACCTGATTGCTCTTTGAGCTGATGAGGGAGGGGGACTTGATCGGGGGAGGGGGGGAGTGGGAGGCGGTGGCGGGGAGGAGGCAGAAATCCTTTATAAATAAATAAATTTAATAAAAAAAACACACACAAATACACACCCACCCATAGGCACACTCACACACACACACATACACACACAGACATGTGCACGCACATATATGCACACCAACGGTTCATACCTATTTCTACTTTCTTTTAGGCTTAAAGCCTTGATGAGGATAGGGAACTCTTGCTTATGGGCAGCTCCAGAAACCGCAGCAGCAGATTCCCTCTCCCCTAACACTCAGGTTCAGGGTAAGCGCCGGCAAGAGTCCAACCACAGGTCACTCTGAAATGTTCAGAAAGGGTAGGGAGGGAGAAATCAAAATGTCGTTTCTAAGTTGCCACCATGAGCCAGCAGTTAAACAAACTACTCCTTCCAAGGGAAAGTCTTGTCCCATGTTGCTTGGCTTTGAAATGAGTGGCTTTGAAATGAGAGCTCACTGTGCAGCAGGTGTGTGCGGGAGGTCATTCCAGTCTCCAATGGGACAGAAAGACTAAGAAGTGACCCTGGAAAGTGCTGCTGTGTTCAAGTCTCCCAGCCTTAGAAAGCCATGCCTGTTGGAACCCTAGATGGTGGTAAATACCCACAACCACTGTTACCTTGGGAAACAACATTCAGTTGGTGTCAGTAGCAGGATAGATTTGTGAATTTAACTAACTTACAACCAGAAGGGAAGGCAGACATCGTAAGTTAGATCCAGAGTCCGGAAAAAAAAAAAAAGACCACTGAATATCAAACTCCTGACTCTACTGCCACAGCCTCGGCCAGGCAGAAGAAAAACAAACTTCAGCCAAGTCATTTAATATTTATTGAAGATTGAGCATTCCAGACATTTGCCAGGCTCGTACTAGACACAATGAGTCATACAGAGACATACAAAACATAGTTCCTGCTCTCATTGAGCTTACAATCTGATTAACAGCCAATCACCCTTGCAAGAGGAGGAAAGCCATACAGCCTATTGGGTTCAAAACACAACAGAACATGCCTCAGATTGCCCTCTCAGCACCTCCTCTGACACGGGGTCTCAGCAAAAGGAGTCTACTCCATTTTATTTCCATTTGAGATCATTTTCATTGAGTTTCTGCTTTGAATCCTTCTAAACCTCCCTTCAAGTCCAACCAACGCTACTGTAAAACTGAAGAGTTTGTGTTTAGGTAAGGTTGTACATGAACCACATCCTGGCCTAGCCATGACTCATTCGTATCACTTTAAAAAAAGAAGAAACAAACAAACAACAACAACAACAAAAAAAAAACAAAAAAAAAAAACCCTTTTACTGCACACCAGAGGCTCTGTGAGAAGCATGGCAATGCAGAAGAAACACATGAGCAACGTTGTATTTTGGGAGCTTTTCCAAAATTCTCAAGTTGAAAAAAAATCCACAAAACCACACAGTGATTAATTTAGCATTATTTCCTTGCAATGTTGCCAAAATTAAACGAGCAGATATGGAGTGAACAAACCCAGAAATTTGTCTTTCCATCTTGTTTTGGTCCAAAGTATAATCGTGATCAAAAGCAAAACTGCTCCCAATCTGCAAGGTAATTATTTGAGGGTGTCTCCCCTTCAGTGCAAAGCAGAGAAACAACTTTTAATTGGAGTCAAAGTGAGACTGGGAGTAGAACTCTGGTAAATAACCAGCATGCTCTTGTTGTCTTACTCTGAAGAAAACAAGTGTCCGCTTTTCAACGGAAACCAGAAAATGGCCCTAGGCTTTCAAAGAGGAGCCCCTGGAGGAAAGGCATCACAGGCTTTTCCTCCAGAACTACTGAGATTCTTCATGCTGATTTGAGACTGGCTTTCTCCTGCCTCCCTGATCTTCACTGGAGAAAACTTACTTGGCCAAAATCTCTTCCCCCACTCCCTTAATTTTGTTCAAGTTCCTCCACATCTTTTTCAGACCCCAAATCACTTTCTAATACCAATGAGACACTGTGTTCTCCCACTTCCTTACCACATGGTTCTGGTTTCTGTTTTACAGGAAGGCAAGTCATCTCAGGAGAAAAACAAACAAACAAACAGAAATTATACAGAGTTCTCCCAAGCTTATGTCTCTTTTTTTGATAACCTTATGTCCATCAGCATGCTAAGGAAAAACATGACACTATTAACGAAAGAGAAGATTCCTTGTCTCATGCCGAAGAACCGAAATAGTAGGAACTACATAACCTTTAATTTGCCCACACTTTTAATCATGCCACTGCCAGGGATCTGACATCATCTTCAATCAATAAAATAACCTTGTTGCTCTTGAAGACACAGAGTGCCTTTGAGGATAGTGGACCAGAAAAGAATGGAAATGCCTAGCTCTGTTTTATAAAATGCAGTATAAATCTATATACCCAGCTCCTCTGTAATAAGAAGGCAGCGAAATTTTTGCTCCACTTGGAGCCATGAACCTCTCCCCATATACCTGGAAGGTGAGCCAAACACATTAGTGAGAGCTCAGATGTTTCCCAAGCCAAGACCCAACAAAATCAACATTACAAGGTGGCCAGAACAAACCATATTTTTGCCCTTCAAATGAATTTTGCAATAAGCCTATTAGGTCTTCTTTCTAACCCTTCTTCTACTTCCTCCTTCCATTCTGCCCTTTACTATACAAACAAGGATGGAAAACCTAGTCTAGAAAACCGGTTTCTCTGCCAAATTCGGATCAATCTACTTCATATTTTATTTCCAGAGAAGTGGAAAGCATCCAGGTCAAAATTTCTGTGACTATGTCTTTGTAAATAAAACATCACACACACACACACACACACACACACACACACACACACACACACCCTTATTAAAAGCAAGAAGTCTGGGCAGGAGAGATGGCTCAGTGGTTATATTAACCTGAATGCTCTTCAAAAGGACTAGGGTTCAATACCCAGCACCCACACGGCAGCTCACAACTGCCTGTAGCACCAGCTCCATGGTATCGTACAACATCTCCTGGCCACCACAGACACTGCATGCACATCATACACAAATCTATCCAGGCCCAACACCCATTCAAATAAATAAACCTGACAACAACAGAGCCAGGAAGTCCCAGTAGATTCACTTGTGCTCTCTGGCTGGGCCGCTTAATGGCCTGATCTTTCATAGACACTATCTTTCCCAAGAAACTTTGCAAGCCAGAGCACACATTCAGCTCTGTGCATAGGATGTTATTGAGCTGAACAGGGAGTGGGGTACAGTAGAAACCCTGCGGCCAAGGGTTCTATTATCTCACTTCTCAAGTTCAAATCCTGAATTAAGTTCTTTGTTAATTGACCTCATCCACGTTTCTTTACCTGCATAGGTAACAGTGGCATCACCTAGAAATTAGGATCAGTGGTGTACACATAATAGAAGATTATGATCAAGATTAAGAGAAGTAGAGGTATTCCATGTAAAGTGTGAAGCATGGACCCTGACACTCCATAATAGCTCGAAAAAGTTAACTATTGCTATAATTATTATACCAACTTAGCTTTTATTCTAGAATGCTTTAAAAATGTTATGAAAGTTGCTTGATTTAAAGTCCCTATTTGTATCTTAGTTACAGGGTTTCTTAAGCCATCAATGGTCAGAATTCTGATAACTCTTGGGAGATCACTTAATGCCCCACAGTCCTGTAACTTGCAAACTGGATAGGCATTTGTTCCTGCTTAGAAAATTCTCGTAAGGGGTTGGGCAGTGGTGCACATGCCTGTAATTCCAGCCTAGGCAGGTAGTTCTCTGAGTTCGAGGTCAGCCTGGTGTACAGAGTGAGTTCCAGGAAAGCCAGGGCTCCACAGAGAAACCCATCTTTCAAGCCCCCTCCCCAAAAAGTAATGTGTAAGGGAAGAGTGGGCATCAATTCTTTTCTGTATCATTCATTGCCTAGACCACATTGGAAAATAACTGTAAGGCCTTGAAATTTTCAACCCTTACTGAGGAGCATGTGAGAAATCTGTTTCTAAAACATTAATTTTTTTAAAACATATTATATTTTAATTACTTTATTTTTATTTATTTGTTTATTTATTTAGTGTGTGTGTGTGTGTGTGCACCAGGGTGTGGCCATGTTCACTATGCTGTGCATGTGCAGAGCAGATGTCAACTTGCGGGAGGCAGTTGTCTCCTTTTACCATGCAGATCCTGGATATGGAAATCAAGTCTTCCCAGAGGCAGGTGCCCTAACCCCCTGAGTCATCGTGCCCAGGTCAGAATTGGTCATTTTTTTTTATCCCACTTACACTTTCTTTTTTATTGCTCTGAACTAACCCAAACATATTCATGGGCAACAAAATTACCACGCAGACAGTGGAGGGGTCAGTGAGACACACAGTAGTGGGGTGAATCCTGTTACCACCCATTTTTTTCTTCTGATATACATCATTTATAAAGGGGATCATTAGACCATGGTACCACATCTAGCCACTTAATGCCTCAAAAAAGTACAAGGGATCCATAAAAGCAGGACACACATAAAAGGAAGAAGGTTTAAGAATCTACCTAGATCCTTGCTGCCTTAACAATCTCTTCCCCACTATGGTATTGTTGTTTACACTTTATTTTTATAAATAACATAAATACAGTGTGCAAATAGTTATAATAAAGAAGATAAATCACTTAGAAATCCAGTACTTCAGCATTGTTAAAATTTGTAAACACTCTATTTAGACCTGTGTAAAGCAATGAAAAACACCTGGTTTTGGTTTAAGAGACAGGGTCTCACTGCGTAGCCCAGACCAACCTGGAACTATGTAGTCCATACTGACCTTAAACTCATGGCAATGATTCTGCTCAGTTTACGCAGTGCTGGGACTATGGGTTTGAGCCATTACAACCAGCACAAAGAAATATTAATATGCACAGAATATGGGATCCTACGTTTCATTTTATTATAAGCCTTTTACCCATGTTTTGGCATAGACATCATAACAAATATTGTAATGGTCATGTAATATTCCAATGAATGAGTGTATCAATATGCACTTACCCACTTTCCAATTAAGATAGTCAAATGACTCCCAATTTTGTGCTGGCCTAAATAATTTCATTAAAACATGTTTGTGATTTAACCTTTTGCTATATTTTAGAAAAACATTTTCTTAATTAAATTAATGAAATCTTAAATCCTAATATAATATTGTTTCTTAATGATACAACCCCACAAGTGAAAGGAATGGGTCAAGGAGCACAAATGTTTGTGAATAGCCATTTAAAAAAATAAATAAACGAACAAAAAAGTAGCAGAAAGCAAAGCCCCATGAAATCTTTCTTTCACTTAATAAAATGCTCTTCTGCCCCCGTTTCTCCACCAGGTCAGAGCAGGGCTCTGGGGACACTGGGAAGCTTAAGCCAAGAGAAGCAGAGGAGGACCTCAGTGCCTTTTGAAATGGCAGAGCGTGGAATGTGGGCTCCCCTAGGAATCTAGCTTGCATGCACTTGCCCCAAATTGCCACTTGGCCAAGAAGCTAATTAGTAAGAACATCAGATGGGTGAGAACAGGTTCATGGCCTGTAATGGCTTATATCATCTTTCATTTTTGCCCTTGGAACGATCTGACCGTCAGCTTGAAGACATTCAGTTCTAGTGACCCAGCTTGTTACTTTCTGAGAACAGAATTTGTTCGTTTTGAGAGCCCAATCTTCGCTTTAACCTAATGGGCATGTTGCTATAAAAAACTGAATGTACATGAGCAAGGAGTCTGTGCACATGCCTCTATTTGCAGCTTCAATCAGAGTAGCACTTTTAACGGTGACCAGGTTTAATATAATATGAAGAAATGCCACCTGTTTAAATGGTCAGTGTGTTATAGAAAGAGCACCTATTTGACCATACAAAGTCACCCGGGTTTTAGGTTTTAGTTAGGGAAGGCAGCAGACCAGAGATACCCCTGGCTTTGCATGAGGCCAATTTCTTTTCTTTTTTTTCACTTCTTTTCCAGAACTCTCAGAAAAGTGGGTTCAGCCCCTCCTTCAAAGATTTTCACTAATCATACTCCATTTCTTTACTTCCCTGAATTCTGCTCAGCATAGAAAACGAATTCTGTCCTCTTTCTGTTCCTATGGCCCTTGTACACAGCTGTTTTAGCACTAACCAACATTTAGTGAGCATTTACTATAGCTAAAAAAAAGTGTTTAGCTTTCGCTTGTACCAAGAAGACACTGGAGAAGAAAAAAAGCAACAAATATTTTGAGCCTAGTCATCAGGAAGTCCTGGGAAGGTAGGTCTAATCTAAAAACTTCTGTATAACAGAGATCTGCAGAGAGCTGAGTCGAAGGCACCGAATTTGTGGAGCCACATGATTTCAGAGACATTCTGAAATATATCTTTGGAAGTCATTGGTATATGTGGAAGTGCTAAAGTTATAAGAGAGAGGGCTGGGCCACAAAATAGGAACAGAATTCACCAAGGCTGAAAGTATGATGGGCCCCCGAAGAAAATAAGCATTCGAGAAACTCCTACATTGTAAATGTTAAACAGATCCCTTCACTTGTTCTCAGGTCACCTCCTCTATATAATTTAAATCCAGAAGCTCTTGCTTCAGGATCTAAGTCCCCAATAGTAATTCAGAGACATAAAAGAAGGCAATTCTCCTCACTGGTACTTCTAAGAGTCCAGGCAGAAATCACAGGAAGCTGAGCTAGAAATGGAAGTGCAAGTTGGTAGAATACATAGGATGGGGTACGCTCTTTCTATCCCAGTACCTAAAACACCAACTCATGTATTTAGTGTATGGAATATGGGAGTAAAGAGTGAATAAGACCTGCCCAAGGACTTTGATAGAAGCTACAACCGGAGAAAAAGTATGAAAGACATAGAATACTAACATCATTATTACCTTTAGTTTCTCAGCCCTGTCTCTAAGGAGTCAATGGTTCTTCCACTTCGGTTAGCCTTCTCAGCAGCTGTGGGGGGAAGTAAAGACAGATGTGAGTAACTCCACTTTACAACTGGAGAAACACAAGTGCAAGGCACATAGCTAATGCTAACTCACTAGATCAAGGTTTCATTGTTGCTCCCCAATAGTGTCAGAATCAGAAACCAAATCTTGTGACTTCCTGCCTGCCCTATATTCAGGTAAAAGACAAACCCTCCCACAGACTTCTTGCCAGGTTTGGAAGAAGACAGTTTACAACAGAAATTGTTTAAATTAATTTTAGTTAAAACTAAGAGAAGCTCATTCAAAAAGCCAAATCCCCTGAGCACGCCAACTGTCTGTCTACATAAGTATGTTTCCCCTACACGAAAGTATTAAGACAGTTCCCCAATACCAGGAGGACGACTGGCTTCATCTAACTCTCACTGGTGCTATGCTGGCATAACTTGAAGCCCCCATTTTGCTGCAGACTCTGGATAGGAGCCCCATTTGCCTTCAGTCAGGTTTTTGTGTCGGAGTGGGGCTCAGGTGCTGGCTGCAGGTGTGGCATCCAGCAGGTGCATGGATAAGAGCCAGTGTTTCAAATCTTCATGCCAAAGAACCTGAGTCGCTCTCCAAAGACAGAGGCAGCCCCTCCTTCTGCTGCCGAGCTGCAAAAACCACTAACTTCTTTTGACTCTGTCGCCTTGTAGAACTGAATCTAGACCCTGCCTTCTCAAGGAAGGACTAGAGGAAGATCAGTTACGCCACATGTCAGAAAGCCTAAGTAACTGCCCCACTCAAAGAAACTAATGCAGGCATGGCCAACAAGGAAAAAGCATCAGGGACTAGGTATAAAGAATGATCATCTCCTACAAACTGTGGAGGGAAGGGAGGCTCAAAGTAGACCTTATATTTTATCCCTCTATAGGACATCTATTCTTTTGCACATGTCCCTGAAATCTCAGAAGCTAGTATTTCTTTCCCTAAAAGAGGTGAAGAAAATAAAAACTATTAGGAAGGCAGTGCTTATGGTTAGCCCCACCCTCACCCTTTCCCTTCATGTTCCCAAGAAATAAGTGCTTAGCCTGGTCACAGAAACAGCGGGATCAGAAAATTTACCACAGTGCCCCACACAATACTAATTGGCAGCTGCAGGCAAAAAGAATGCTCTAGGGGGTAAAGCAGGTCATCAATATTTTCTTAGCTCTGAAAACTGTTTGCTTTTGAAAACAATCTGCCTCTCTCAATCTCAATATCTCTCTCTCTCTCTCTCTCTCTCTCTCTCTCTCTGTCCTTCTTTTGACATATGTATGTACTCAGGCAAACACACATATAGGCACACACACACACACACACACACACACACACACACACAGGCGGGGATAGGTAGAAAAAGGTACAAGAAAATCATGGAAGGAAACAGACTATAACCTTAATAAAATACTGTATTACGATCCACTGTATTTCCTTAGTTCATACAGAGAACTACCATTAGCAAGTTGTGGTTCAGAACTCATGATCCACAAAGTAAAACTGGATGCTAAATTAAAATGTGATCACTGTATAAACAGAGTAAAACAAAGATCTAAACAAAAAGCCCAAAGGTAACAGAGGAAATTCCATCTCTTTAGAATTGGCAATCAAAATGATTTTCCTCATCTGTGATTTTTTTTAAGCTTAAATTTGCTCTCACATGAGGGGGAATGTCACTAATTCAATGCAAATCGGCGCCCCTGAAGACAGCTAAAATGAGTAAAGGATGCGCTAATTAGCTTCCTAACAGGGAAAGCTTTAATTGAACTTTTCTATAACAACCTTCATCAAAGTTTCCAGGGCAACTTCATAGAAGATGTCAAACCTGGCCCATATTTATATCGTCTGAAAATAATTCTCAATACACAGAAACACAGAAAGCTGATTTCTCTTCAATGCTGTTAACACTCAGGCCACTACATTTTCTGATGTCAGCAATCCCCTTCCCACAAATATCCCAAGAATGCACCACCGTCATTCTCCTTTCAATTATGTGGTTTCTCTGCTCCTTTCTTGATTGAGTCCAGGCCTCTCGGATAATGAGAAGCATGTGCTGGGTAAAAAAAAAAATGCTCTTTAAAAAAATACACACATCAGTTTCCTCTACATCATAAAATGGAGTGACAATCACTTGTCCTTATCAGAAATATCAAAATCTATGAGATATTATAAAAAGGGAAAAAATCATCATCAATGTGTAAAGGTGATCAGTTATTGTAATCTGAAACAACACCAATAAATAAAAGCGAGATACCCCCCAAATCCACCCTTTCTAGCTTGGCCACATTTATATTTATTGTTATCTTAATGTTGCCTTTGGGGGTATTTAAGTTCTGACATACACATGGAAATGAGCCACGAATTGTAGAGCAAGCATAAATATTCCATCATTAATAAAAACCAGCTGTGCCCAAAACACTACAACAGCTGGGTTTCAGTTACTGGCTATCACCAGTATTTGTCACAGGCAAATGTTACTCAAAACTTTCTCCCTTAAAACACAGAAGCATTAAACTCTGCTTTACTTTAACAAGCTTGAAGGTGCTCTGAAGGATTCGCTGGCCACTAGGGTGCATTCCAACTGTCTGCTTCTCAAACAATTCTCCCCATCCCGACAGTCACTACTGTCCTTTGACTTTGCCGCAAACTATGAGAGAATAGGAAAAAATGTTGAATGTTTTTAAAAGGTTGAGAGGGTCAATAGCACAAATGTAGGGTCAATCTTAATTATGCTCAGAAAGGCAATAGGGCACCAAAGGGCACTGTATGTTATAAGCGAGCAAAAGCTCATTAGACATGAACACCTGCTCAGGACCCTATAATAAGCCTGCTCTGCCATCATGCAAACACCTTTCATCCAATGACCTCAAAGCATATGCCCAATATGAAGCATGCCTAAACACCTCTGTGAAGTATTAATATCCTCCCTTCACAGAAGGGTAACTGAAGCTTAGAGCAGCTAATTCAGCTCCCCTTGGTCACATGGCAAGTCAGAGAGGGGCTGGGCAGAGAATCCCAAATCCTGGCTTCAACTCACACAGACTAATGAATGCCATTTCAGGCAGCCAGAGAAAGAGTGAAAGTGACTTCACAAATGTCAAGCAAATCAAGAGAGAGAGAGAGAGAGAGAGAGAGAGAGAGGTGATTGATTTGCATTAGGAACTATTACCAAATAAGCCAAACCCACCTGCATTTCTTTCCCCAGGAGCACAAAGGATGAAACACAAGCCTGTACTTCACTTGGAAATTTGTACATGATACAGACTTTGATTCCAGTATTTATATTTCGGCCGAAGAAATTTCATTCAATTGTGAAGAGCTATTAGTTTACCAGGAATGAGTCTATCAAAAATTAGATATCACATGAAAACTATATTTTTATTAAGGAATAACTAAAGGTCCATGAACCTTAAGTTTTCACTATATACTAAAGGTCTCAAATCAAAGCAACCTCTGTGTGTGCACCACTTTACTGTAGCTATATGCTGTGTTCTTTATTGTCTGCAAACTTTAGTTTTCTTGCTTTTTTTTCCCTCCAGTCTGACAAACATTATTTGTGAAGCTTTCAGACAAGCATATCTGGGCCTTCCTGCTCCCCTTTTCACATTCGGGATCCTTCAGAGTCCACCTAAATTTATACTACATTGAGATATCATAATGAAGCAATTTAAAAATAATGTCCAATGATTTAGACAAGTAGACATCGGGTTCTAGTTTAGTTTTTTTTTTAAGTGGCAGAGCGTAAGTGCAGGTCAGAAGAATAACATTAATGGGTTTGCTGCATACACAAACGAGCCACTTTCTAAGTGTTTAGAGTTCACTTAAACCTATTTGTTCCCTCCCGGAATTCTGGGAACAAAATGTGAGATTCTTCCCATGCACTCACTTTGGTTCTTACTCCATTACTCCATAGCAGTTTACAAAGCTTTGTCTGTGACAAGTTCTTACTTAAGGGCAACATTACACACCCCTATGACCCAAACTATGGAAATTTCACATTAGTAGAGGAGCCAGGAAAAAAAATTAATGGGATTCTTGAAGTTTTGTATAGAGTCTTGGCTTTATTATTTGATACCACTAAACTATAAAGCCAGTTTCTATAGATACATTATTACAGACAGACTCATCCCCACCCCACCCCACCCCCACCCCACCCCCACCCCACATGCAGGATGAGTACAGGATTGTATAAGTTATAATGACTGTTGCACCTCATTCTGGTAGGTACAGCAAATTAGTGAAGCCTCAAAAGACAAGCTTGAACTTTCGAGAACTGATTGTCAATATCCCCCTGTCCAGTCCCCACAATTTACAGTGAAGGAAACCCTGCTAAAGCCTGGCTCCTCTCCTCAAAGGGCTCACCTGGAAAGGCTATCATAGAGTCTTATATTTAAAATGATACCAGTGGTCATTACTTGCAAAAAAAAACCTATAACAAACAACTTTCTAGGTCCTTGGACTAGTCAAATATAATAACTGGAAAGAAAAGATTTTACCTTAAGTGAGGTGGAGAGTCTCATCCTTGGATGTTAAAAATCTGCAAAGCTATATTTGTTCCAGAAAGTAATGCTAACTTCTTCCTACAAGCATGTGTGGGCTGAGTCTAATGTGGGGAGCATTATTACAAGCCAGAATGATATAGACAATTAACTCCATCCCATATAACAAAAGGCTTCAAAAGCCCAATAATAGCCTCATTTAGTTCAGGCAATAATCAAAACAGCAAATGCTAATGTAGTCCTTTATACAATAAATATGGTCCTGAGAAAGCCCAGTTATACTGAGGTGGTTTATTATTATTATTATTTTAACCTATCAAGTCATAGTTTAAAGACACTTAATAGGAAAGTTCTGTTCAAGGAAGTCTGTGTAGATACTTTTAGAAAGCAAATGACCTTCTACTTCCTTTCATTTTTTCTATCTGTCTTTCTTTCTTTCTTTCCTTCCTTCCTTCCTTCCTTCTTTGTTTCTTTCTTTCCTTCTTTCTTTCTCTTTCATTTTTGTTCAGATTGTGTGTGTTGTATGTGGAGAGGGAAACTTCCTTCGAAAAGGTCAGAAGCCCACCATGGAGGAGAGAAACGCAATGTCCCAGCCTGATTAATGCCCCCTTAGTTCCTGCAACTAAATTCTAACCTTTGACTTGGGGGTGGGAACCTAGATTTTGGACCAAAGTCCACAAAAGGCAACAAGGAATGAAAAGTAATGCTAAAGACAACACATCATACATAGTAAAACGCCAACAAAAATTCCTGGGGACAGGAAATCAATAGCTCACAATTCTAAACAAATTGGTTCAGTCCCCAGCAAATTAACTTATCACACACATCTCTAAACCTACTGAATCCATGGGAGAAAGAGGTGATGTAATAGGCGATTTGGAAACATTTCCCATCCTAAAAGGATAGACCCGACCACACACACCTCTCTCCACCCCTTTCAGTGGGTTTAAGCTGGGCTCAATGAGTGCAAAGGACAATTTCTACCAGACAGTCCTGAAGAATAGACTGTTCTCATGCATTTCAAATGCTCAGTCTCCATGGAGGAGGCTACCTGGCCACAAGTATTTCCCAATAGGGAATATATCCTCTACTCCTCCTCACTGGTAACACTCCCTCTGTCCCAAGCAAAACAAAACTGCAAACCATCCAGAGAACTTGGTGGTGGGGTGTGATTTTCTGGGATAAAAGAAAGGAAATGTTAAGAGCGGAGCAGGAGGGTGTGAGAAACTCCTCTTTTCTCCAAATGGAAAATAAGCCTAAAAAAACTGGATCAAAAGAAGAAGGGAGTTGGGGGGGTTGCTTAATTACAAAGACACCCTTTTAAAAAAGGACCAGGCCCTGGGAGAGAGCTCTTAGGAGAGGCCCAGAAGCAGATGTACCCACTTAGAATGCTGGCACTCAATGGGACCTCAAAGTATCTATCCCCTCTTCCTATTAGCATTCCGGAGTCTGCTTCATTCTATACAAATATAGAATGGAGAAAATCAACCTCAGAAAAGGCCTTAGTCATGCATTAGTCTAACAAGCCTTACTTCATAAATGAAAAATTATACTTTAAGGTTCATATCTCAGTGTCAACTACGAATTGCTAAAATCTCTTTCTAAACTATTTTTCATCCAGTAAAGGGATTTACGATGTCCATGTAAAACTTACTGTACATACATGTGGAGTTACAGGTTTACTTTGTACCTAGGCTGTGAATTAGAAAGAAGAAAAAAACTTTCAATTTTACAGAGACACAAACCTTCCCAAAGAAAGAAGTAACTTAAAATGAAGTATGATGTAGCGCCAGAAAGTGCCTGTAAATGACACCAGGCAAACCCGTACAGAATAGTTGGGACCTGAGTTAGCATCCGTAAATAGATGCGACTCCTCTACAACCACCTGGCTAGTAAAATGTCCCAGGCCAGTTTTAAAATTTTGTTTGGTCAGGCCAGCCTTTCCCTCCCAGCTGATCTGAAACACGATAGCCTTTAAAATTGTCACCATGTAACATGGTCACATCCCTTCTCTACCTTCCTAAGGTCTCGCTCCTCCCCCTCCCCCAGTTAAATTCAACCTAAGAAAATTAGTTTAAAATGGACGTAAATGGTTTGTTCCCTACAGAATAAGCAATAGATTGGGGACATCTCAGTAACAAGTCTTTCAACACAACCAGGGCTTGTGGCACTTGCCCAACTTAAGAGAGGTAGGAGATAGGTGACAATTTACCCCATGTCCAAAATGGCATTTCTGACTATTCTTAGCTACTGAATGAGGGGACTGAAAGGTCTGAGGAGGCTTCACAAATGCTGGCCTGAGAAAGAACAGTTCACATGGCCAAACCCAAGAAAACTTACGTATCATTATCCCTTCGTCACTAAAGATTATGGTAATGAATTATGGGAGGAAAAGGTTATATTCATATCAGTTTTAAACTGTCGCCTGACATCTACTCTTCATGGAGGAAGGGGATAGTAACAGAAGGCTTTCTCGAATATTTTCCGGTCACTTTTCATTAATTTGTAGTCAGTCCCTTGCATCAAATTACTAGCATATTATTATTTACCAGTGGCAATTATCAGGGACTGCTAGCAGTCTATAAAGTCTGTCATTTCCCTCCTCCTTTACCTTATGTTCATTTTTACCTATCTATGAAGATAGTCCTGCTATTGGTGAACTGAAGTACCATGGCCAAGGCTCGGACCTTAAAACAAACACCTCTGTTTGCAAAACTATTTATCAAAATATTCTGATTTTATGAAGCAAATAACGGCAGTCTCCACCTCCCAAATCTCACCACCACCACCACCACCACAACACGCGTGCGTGCAAAAGCGGGTAGTAGTGTGGCTCCTTACTTCCACGTTTGAAAACTTGAAGAATTCATGGCCCGGGGGTCAGGGAGGGTGAGCTCCCACCCCAAGCCAAAGCACTTAGAGGAAATTTATCTAGCTATCTGAGATAAGGACAAACCTTCAAGCAGGACTAAAGGTAGACCTCCGAATCTCTAACTTAGTTAAGGTCTTTAGTTCCTTAAGTGATCAATTCAGTAGGGACCTACAAGAAACCAGGGACGCAATAAGGAGCACCCGGAGTAGTACCTTCTAGCATCTCCTCCTTCAAGTACCAGAGGAGTCCATACTTTTAAATTGTTTTAAACTTCATGCACACCTCGGAAAACTCAAGGGCAACAGCCAAGAAAGTGTAACATACAGGCGATCCCCACAGGCACGTATAACAACCTACTCACAAATAAGGGCATGATTAAGTTCACAAGACCACAGACTACTGCCCCAGTTCCCCACAAAAAGTAACGACGCTTCTCCTACCCCTAAAGGCAATGAAGACAAGGTGACGATTTTCTCCGCTGGCTCAAGTGGCTTCGGTCCCGGGCCAGAGGCCAGGGATGGGTAGGGAGGAAGCCCCAGGTCCCGGCTACTCGCTGCTCCCTCGGGTCTCTCCTTGGTGGCAGTGGACAGGCAGGCAGGATACCGGGCCGGAGGGTGGAGCAGCGGATAGTGGGAGGCGAGATAGGCTGGAGGTGGTGGGGGAAGGAGATGGGAACTAGGAAAGAGACGAAAGAGAACGGAGATGGAGGAGTAATTCAGGGGTCTACCAGCTAACGCAGCCAGAAAGCTCCTGGAAGGAAGGGGCGTGACTGCGATGAAGGCAGCTCCCGAGCAAAGGATGGGAGGTAGAAGAGGGGGAGGAACGGGTGGCTTTTCTTCTGGCGGTGAGCGGCTAGGACCGCCCAAAAGGAGGGGGGTGGAAGATGAAATGGGCAGGGCCGAGGGCGGGGCCAGCAGGGCGAGAGGCGGGAGGGAAGCCCGCAGGACACTGGCGGGCAAAGGGGAGGAGGCAGCGCCCCAGGAGGAGAGGCGGCCTTTGGGCGGGGAACTTTTAAACAATTGATCCGCTGCGTTCAGGAGTCTAGGAGAGAGCTGAGATAACTCGCTGGCTCTCTTCCTCTCACGTGCTTGACTAGACTTGGTGGCGGTAGTGCGGACAGTGTTTGCAGGAATTAAGGCGGGAGAAAGAAAGGAACGGGGTTTGTTTTGTTGTGTTGTTTTTCCAAAGACTTTAATAATCCACGGCGACAGTGCAGCAAAGTAGCGTGGGAGAGTCAGCGCAGCTCCCTGCCCCCTCGCGGGCAGAAGAAAAATCGTAGAAACACAGAAAAAGCTGCACGGAGGCAAAGCCAGCTTCACAAATCCAGGAAGGAGCAGCTCTCCTTCGTCACCCCTCCTCCCCCGGGCGCCCGCCCAGCCACTCTCTGGTTTCCTTTGACCAACTGGCAACCCACTCAAGGCAAAGTCCGCAAGATCCCCCTCTTTTTTTCCATTACCCCACCCCCAGCTTCAACCTTCCTACACCTTCCCTGCCTCCTGCCCCAAACCTCGACCCGGGTCCTTGCCCACTCCTAGAGTCTGGCCACTAGGGCACAAGGAAATGGGCAGGGCTGAGAGGAAGCTCCACCTCTTGGGAGTGCTTGCTTGGCAGAGCGGGCCCTGAGTAGGTTCCACCCACCATTCTTTTGCATCTATTCATTGGCCAGTCACGCCTGCTGTTGAGCCATGATTGGTTCTTGCAGTCGCCAATCACATACTTTGATCCCACCCGCCCTCAAAATTAATAAAACTAAACAAGTGACTATTGTCTAGCTCTCTGTGCTCCCCAAGCCTCTGCTGAGAATAGGTAGACGAGACGGTTGACTTCTTAGTCTCCTGCGACAGTGTGTTTGCCAACTGGGATATAACGTTATATTTAAAGCACTGTCTGACTCTCCGCGAATAGGTAATTGTTTCCTCTTAATCCATTAAACTTGAAAAGGGAAAGGACATGAAGTGTCAATGTGGTGCTCACATTCTTTGGCTGCGAAAAATTCATACTGCTCAAGTACACAGAGAGTTGAGTACAGCAGCATCGCGAGGCACGGGATGAGGGGTTGAAATCTACAATGTGACAGCGGAGTAAAAAAGAAAAGAAAAGAAAACACAAAGAAGCAGTAAAGGGATAGCAAAACAACAAGGAAGTCGAACCAAAGAAAGAATTCCTTCTGGGCTCTCGCCCATATTACCAAGCTGCGGGACTTTTAGAGGACTTAAACGTCCTCATCTGTATGAAAATGCTGTAAGGCATGAACTGGGCTTGTAGTGCTACAGATGCGAAAATAAAATGAAATGTATCTTAAAAAACTCTATAAATCAGTCCACACTTATACGATACACATGGTGGGGACTCTGGCTCATCTGTTTTAAGCATTTATATCCAGGCTTGTGTAAGTTCTGTGGTTTTATTTTGAAAAGCCTCCTCTTTTCCTATAATTTTGAGGGTGGATATGAAGTTGGCTCCCTGCAGTTAGAATAATAATTTACCCCTCTTCTAACCAGAGTGGGTGAGATTGCTTTTGCAAACAGTTTTGCAGTTTCGCCACGACCTAAAGCTGTTGCGGTGCTGATGCTGAAAGAGGAAATCATGCTGTGGATCACCAAAGTGAACTTGAACAAACAGATATGAGCAAAGATTTTCCGTGGAAACCACCATTCTCTGTAGATCTCTACTTCTTAGAAAACCTTTGAGTTGGAAACAAGTAAAAGTATAAAGGCTCCCATCCATTCAGAGCTGTTAGAACGAAGCCATGCCATGAAAGTGGGCCATCTAATTCCAGCCTACCCAACGGGAGCCTTGGGTGGTGCCATGCATCAAGGCAACCTAAAAAAAGTATGCACAAAACAAAACACTGTTTCATGATTACTAGGGTCTCCAAACAGTGGGGATAGCAGGTGAGAGGCTGCTGCAGAGACTACAGAGCGTACATCAGGTTCTCCTAGTAGCTGCTGATTCGGAGGCTGGCGCCGGGCAAAATGGACTCTGAGTAGGATTCACTCTAGGTGTGAAAAGAGGTTACTTGGGTGATTTTTTTTCCTTTGGAGAAAGTTACTTTTTTTGAGTGTTTAAAGTGCAGAAGCATCTAGTTTATGAGGCAGAGTTGTTCTGTATTTAGAAACACGGACCCGGAACTAAAAGTGATGTGGCCATCCTGAGGGATTGCGGCTGATCGTAACCACAAAAGGAAGCTTGGTAGCTCAACGATCCTGCTAAAATGGAAAAAAGTAAAATATGCACATGGGAAGATGAAAGTAAGGCAAGAAGGAACGTGTCCAAGTGATGATTTTTTTTTCTTTTTCTTTTTGGTTTTAAAAAGTGTATTAAGAATAAATCATGAATTGGCATCTGACAAATGAAAAGATATGCAGAAAAAGTAGATAATTTGATTACAAAACATCATCTATTAATGTCTGAGTGTACACATCAGTAAATTTAAAATACATATTTTCTCATAATCTCAGAAATGTCCTGATTTAACACATCTTGGCTCTTTTTTTTATTTCTTTCTTATAGGTAGTAACTCACACCAACCTTGGGTTTGTTGATTCAATGACATATCTTAAATGTCCTTCCTTTCATATCAGGACAACTACCTTACCCTCTACTTTGTTCTTAACTGAGCAAAAACCCTCTCACTCACTTTCTTCCCAAGGGGCCACTTTCCAATCTAAATTGCAGTAGCAAAAGCCTGGGGACTCAGTGTGATATGCTTGCTCCCGCTATTGATACTACTGACATTGCCGTCTAAAACACTTCCAAAATGTCTTTCTCACTGTTTTCGGAGCCTAGAAGTGTAAACCTTGGATATGACTCGCCAACAATTTGAAATTTTAATGGTGAAGCAGGCGACATGTGAGTCATTTGTGACTTAGCCGGGGGCAAAAACAGCAGGTTTTTAGGTAAACTCTGTTTTTCCCTGGGGTCTTCCAAGTGTCTTAAGGTCTTAGGTGGTTCCTCCTCTCCCGCCACGTAAGACTTCCTCTGTATTTTTACGCTGAAAACCTTTCAGTTTGTTTAAAGTGAGTTTGAATTTATAAAGCTCTGCCTTGCCTGCTCTACTTAAAAAGGAAGGAGAGGGCAACATCAACAAACATAGACTGAAGTGCTGTTATGGACGGGACTAAAAAAACAAAAAGGTATGAGACTTGGCTCCTGCCTTCCGGCACATACACATGAGAAGACAACTAGCAAGTGTCTGCTAAGTGCTACATGAGCGGTATTGATGATAAAAGCTGTAGACGTTAAGAGCTGGGAGTGAGAACTACATTTCAGAGAGTGAGTTTACACAGCAGACTATGCCACACACATTTAACTAATCCCTACAGCATCCCCATGTCTTCGAGACTTGCCTATAAAACATGGAAAGCCCTCTGGGGGATACCAGGAGAATTAGCCACTAGCCATCAAACACCTGTGTAAAGACACTGGGTAACTGCAGTACTACACATTAAGAAGCAATTTACTATATGGGGGGAAAAACAAGGACGTTTTCATCTGCGAACTAAAGATTCTTCATTCCGTGCTATGTACCCTGTTTGACCCTTTTCATAGTATGAAATTTCTCTTTTAGTGTAGAAAGTCTGTGCTGAAAAAAAAAATTGTCCGTCAAAAATAAATATCACCCTTGGAGATCCTGTGAGGAATAAAGGTAAGCAGCCACAGCAAGGGCTGATTGTGCTTCTGCTTGTATGAGGGAGCCCCAAGATGCAGATTCTTAGGGAAAACAAATGGAGGAGAAGTAAACGTGTGCCTGAGAAAAGCGTTCTTCATAGGAAGGGTTTCCATTCCGAAGCATGGGAAAGTTTGGAAATAGACAGTGGTGATGCTTACACAGTGTTTTAATTTTACACATCCTTAAAATCAATGCAATGATGTACAGTACGAAACTAGATTTTTCATGTAAAGAGGGCAGCTGGAGCCCTACCATAGGCCACCAAGGCCCATCTTACCAGGACTTCTATCTCTTCAAGAGACATTGAACTCATATGTACCTCATAAAATATTTTGTTTTTAAAGTTTTGTCAACTAATGAACGTCTTAATAAAAAGTCTGTCTTTCATATCTAAAATTTTGTCTTACCTACAGGACAAGCAGAAAGTAGAGGGAGGTGCATTCTTCGATGCCTGCCATATTCTTGAAAGACCATAAAAACCACACAGTCTTTTGCACTGAATGACTTCTCCACCCACGGAGTAGCTGGGAGTGGGAAATGAGCACATCTTCCTCTAATTGCCTTGTGAACAACTAAATCATTGAAATGTGTTTAGGAACACAAGCAGGAGCAACACATACTCTACGACAAATAAATCCTACACATTTATGTCGTTACCTACAGTTCTGCCCCCTTTCCCCCCTCAACCTCCGGAAAACAGCCTTAGACAAATTAGAAACTTGCTGAAAATCTGCCTTTTCTAGGGCAGCCCCGGAAAGCTTAGGCACCACTTGATTTCTGAACACCCAAACCCTGAACACGAAGATGCCAGCTGGCCAGAAGAGAGAAGCCTTGTCTGAACAGGACAGGAACCAAAGGGCACATGTGCGTGCGC